TGTGTAATACATTTGAAATTTTATAAGCAAATTCATCTTTCATGCTCTCTCTAAATTTCATGGGGCCCACCAGCGGCCGAGCGTACATCGCTGAACACTGGGAGTTCGGTCTGAGGTTCGAATCTCGCGAACAGGCTGGCTGCATGGGCGTTTTCGTGGTTTTCCCCATGTGTAACGTGTATACGAGCCAGTTTTCCTTAGAAAGTCCTCCTAGAGGGAATCCCACCTCTTAGGCAGATAACCCTCGAGGCTTTGCCATAATGACACACTCTAAATTTCAAGAAATGCAGAATTTTTATATTTGAATCTTTATTAATGGCAAGTGGCAGAAGCTGAAAAATACTTTCTTTTAAGAAAATTGTTTAAAATCTGGCAAGGGTTTGATTCTTAAAATTTCGTTCATAGTCGTAATAATTGTAGCTGTTAGAAATTACATTCTTGGATTTGATAATCGTTTATCGCATCAGAATGTTTGATAAATGATTATCAAAGTCAGAAAAAATCGGTAGCTGTTCCAGAGGAAAATCATCAAAATTTAAAAAAATTAGATATTCAATTTCGAATAATAATATTAGCACAAGAAACGATACGCGATCAGCAACGATTAGAAATCTTTTCCATAATGAACTTTCTGTTGTACCTATGTTACAGAATCTTGGAAACAGATTGAATTTGAAAAAATAGTTTTCATGAATATTTAAAAATTTTTTGTAATTTGTTGATGATGTCACACCTACAGCTTTAATTTCTTCTCGCGTTCTCATTTAGTTCATTGAGCTTACTGGCTGAATTCTGCCTTTTCCCTACACACACAGTTGAAATAAGTCTAATTCTTTTCATCTGAGTAAAATGTATTCCTAAAGTGAAAACCCCTTTGTTTGTCTGTCTGTTCGCGCAGTGTGTAAATAACCTTATTTTCAACTTCTAGGAATACCACGCAAAACGAGTTTTGAAGTTTTTTATAAGCGATAGATTTTGTTTTTTGAGACTTTTTAAGAAGCAGTATAATTTTAGAGATGAAAATACCAGTTTTTTTTGTTATGTTAAATTATAATAACGGACAAGTTATGTATCATGCCGTATTTATTACGGCCATGCTTATAATGTAATCACTACTGTGTCTTATTCTCGGAGTTCCTCTGTTTTTTTTTTTTTTTTTTAAATTGCGTCTTATTAAATTGATAGCAATATGACCTAACTTCTCCGATGTGTACTTGCGTAATTGCATTGCTATATATACACATTAGTTCGTTTTATGTAACTTCATTATTTGTTTATCTTTTACCTTTTTAAATTTATTTTATTCATTTCTGTTGTATTTACTCATTTGCCCTTTTCGACTACTAATTGTTAGAAATTCGTTACAATCTTGTTCAGTCGCCTGCTCTACTTTCCACAGTTACAGCATTACATATTCGGAAAAGACTCTGTTTTAAGCATGTGCATCCTAGGCATTGTGTTATAGACAATAACTGCGGGGCTTTTCGATCGATATGCTAAAGTCACAATGGATCGGCCGTCCTTTTGTTGGTGAAAGGAAATATTAATACTATGATCGGAAGATGCGATCAAATGTGTAGCTTTGTAATTAGTAAGAGGTATCTTTGTGGAAGAGTTTTTAAGATAAACTGGTTCACAATTTCGATTTTTATTATACAGTGTGTGTCCACAATTTATTAATACGATAATAAAATTAAATAGCAACTTAATTTTACCAAATAACAGGTACCAGTTTATATCGATATAATCTGCAGTTCAAGTAATTTCGTTTGTTCTAATTTTGGGGAATGGCGAAAGGGAACTTGTTTGTTTACAAATTCGCATCAGGCATTGAAAAACCGATGTGCATTCTCTGGTTATAGCAACCAAAATCTCAGAAACAATTTAATAAACCAACATGAATTTAATAAACCTCCACCAACGGAACAATCCGTTAAAAGATTGTTAAAACAGTTTCGAGAGACCGGACATGTTTTGAATAAAGGAAATGCAACGTATTCAGGGCGCAGTGATGAAAATGTTTCCGCTTTCAAGAAGTGTTTGTTCGCAGCCCCAGGAAATTCATCCGCTGTGCTAGCATGCAAGCAGGAATTCTCAGATAAAGTTGTTCATCAAAGGTTGAAATTGACTACATAGAAATTCCAGATTTGTCAACAAATCAAACCTAATAACAGAGTCGTTCATAAGGAATTTTCTGTAGACATTCTTGACCGTATCAGTAATGATAATCAGTTTCTTCAGAAAATTCAGTGATGAAGCAACATTTCCTGTTTGAAGAAATTTTAATATATCTAATCATAGGATTTGGATGTTCGAAAATCCCCATTCTGTAAAGGAAACTGAGAAAGGTAGTCGTCCATTAATGGCCATTTACATTACTGCTTATATGCTTAAGTGCTGTATATGCAATGTTTGGGGGTATACTTGCATAATTAATTTATAGTGTGAAAACTTTATCCTATGTATTGTTATCAATCGAATGTAAAAATATATCAAAGTATACGAAACTTTGAAATTTTGCATATTACTGACGAGGAACATTTGGAGAGTAAAAACTAAAATTGAATAAAATCCCGATTTGCAGCATTTCCTATTTTTAGTGAGCACTTGACAATAACTTCATAGTATATGTAAATAAATTATGACGGAATACATACGAAAACTGAAGATTATCAGAGCGTATTTTTAAAAAAATGAATCCACTAGTAGTAGTAGAAGTTTTTTTCTACCTTATAACATAAAAAAAGCCGTCGAACTAAGATTTATTTGTTTTACTAGGAAATAAATATAAGCTAAAAATAAAAATTGCTTCAGCTATTTTAAAACAAGTACTTTGAGCTCAATCAAATGCTTAAGATAAACACACTAAAAATAGTAATTTTATACTTTCACAATTATCGCATATATTTCAATACTCTGAATTAATAATATGAAATATAATAATTATTTCAGTGACAGCTACAGTCCGCACAATTTATTAAAAATTCGAACGGTTCGTATTAAAAAATAATACCGCTCGACCACTGGTAAGTATAAAAAAGACTTATGCGAACCTATTTATGTGTAACGGATGAAAGCCGCTGTATTTAAATGTCTGTATAACGCTGACTGTGATGATAAACCTTTTAAAAATATTCTGCATGTTTTTAAATGCAATTTTTTTGTGCGCCGAATAGGAATGTAATAAAAGTGTGATAGTGCAAATATTTATTTCCCATATTCTAATTTGTTGTATCAAGTTTTTATCAACAACAGTATAGATCTTTGTACAAGTGAAATTACCTCCTTAGCTCAACATCAGTTATAATTTATTGAGATTTATTCGCTTGATAATTCCGTTTTAGATACTAAGAGGGATGAATTTCAGTTTGTTAGAGAAAGAGCCATACTGTACATTCTTTATCTAAACGATTTAGGCAGAGTTGGTGATTACTCAATAATTGCGCTGAATGTTTAAGTTCCAGTATAGAAAGGAAAATATATTAGTAAATGAATCATCGATACTTTTGTGAAGAAGCAAATGTGTGTGTGATTATGGCAAAGCCTAGAGGACTATCTAAGGGGAGGGATGTCTTCGTGGAGGACTTTCTAAGGGAAACTGGCTCATATACACTTTACACATGGGGAAAACCAGGAAAACGCCCATGCAGCCAGCCCGTTCGCGGGATTCGAACCTCGGACCGAATTACCAGTGTTCAGCGACTTTACCGCTCAGCCGTTGGCGAGCTGAAGAAGCAAATGAAGTGTTTATAGCAGAATGATTGGTGAGGAGGATAATTAAGATTATTTATACCAGTGGCTGCATTCCCAAACTTAGCACTGAGTACAAGGTGAATAGATGGAAACATTTCATCAAAATTTTTAAAAGAACTATCCTGCTCGGATTAGTAGAAAAAAAAGTGTGTAATCTGTTGACTATGTGGACTAATCAAATTTTAAAGATGGTTTGACTTAAATGATCATGGCAAATAACGCAAGAGATATTTTTCTAAAGTTGGATGATTTGTTGGAGAACTTCCTAAGGGAAATTCGCTGGTAATCATGCTATATATGGAAAGCCCAGAAAACTCCCATGGAGCCAGCGTGTTCGCTGGTATTTGGGCTCAGTTTATTATACGGTCATTGAATCCAAATAGTAGTTGCTAAATTGGCCACGCACATCTCCCAAATAGTATGAAACTAGAACAAACTCAGGTGTCTGTATTATGGCATCCGTATTCTGTGACAGACACGCTGTTTGGCTGATGGATTCCATACCATACTGTATAACAATAAACACTGCTGCATGTAATCAGGATTAGCAGAATTATCAGTCAGAACTTTAATGTTTCACGAGAAGGCAAGGCCAATAGCTTCTGCTCAAATGCAAATTCTAATCAAACATTTTGGTTGGCAGCAGTTAAAAAAATACTCTATACAACTCGGGACCTGTTGTCATCAAACTATCAAATCTTGCATCTGAAAACTTCCTTGCCAAAAAACATCCATTTGGAAAAGAAGCGTTCAAAAATATTCAAAAGTGGTTCAACTGTTCAAGAATGGCTTTCCTCTTTGGCGACACATTTCTGTGACATAAGTCTACAAAAACTTGTCTCCTATTATAACAGATATTTCAACAACAAAGTAAATTACGTGGAAAAATATTTGAAGGTATGCAGATCTGAGGCAAAATAAAGTATTGGAAATGTATATTATTTCATTTTTTTATTGTGAACCTGTCTTTATTTAAAAAATATCTCTCATATAATGCGGCTCTATCAAATTCCGCTATATTTTCAACATTTTCAGTCAATAGATGTATCTAAGTTCCCCCCCCCTCCCCAAAGTTTTATCCAACATTCCTTGCCAAAAATATATATAATTCCTATGAATCACACAGCTTTGCAAGACATTAAATTAAATTCTGCAGCTGAAAATTCTATTTTAGAAAATTTTATTGTTGAATGGACTGAAATGTAAAAAATTCAAAAACTGACATTCAAGAATAAAACAAGACGAAGTAAGTTTTGATATGCAGTTTATTTAAAAATTTCATTAAGTACAAAAAAATTTCACTTGGATTTTGAAACCTTTCTTTCAACAGTTTAGGTTCCTTACGTTGTTGAACTATATTTGGCTGAATGCACTGAGAAGACCAAAGCACAGTTCTTCAACACTTCCGAGCAAACCACCAGAGGTTTACGGTTTACTCTTCATAAAAAGGATTAATCTGTTGAAAGTTAGGTTAACACAAATGAAATCCACGGGCACAATGATTTTGATTAAAATAGATGCATAAGAAACTGGGATAGATTCTGGTAGGAAGCTTACAATATTAGTATCTAAAAGAAACCAAATCACCAGCAAGTGTTTAATTATGATAATATATTGTCCAATCAGTACTTAAAAGAATTTGCACCGCTAGCGTCAGATACCTGAAAATATATATTCCAATAATAAAAAGTTTAAAAATTTTGAAATAAAATTTTGTAAAGAATTAATTTAAAATTTAATAAAATACTTCAAAAAGTTATATTTCTTAACGAATAATTAAAGTTTTGTTAAAATTTGAAGTAGCAATAAGAAGTTGAACCAGACCGAAAATATAATACATTTTTTAAAATTTTTGGTAAAGTAATATTTAAAAATTATTCACTAGAGGTGCAGTTTCAATAGGATAATGTTTATAAACGAGTAAGCTGATGTTGTATATCTCTAGCAATATCCTTAGGTTCCGTAGACGGGTCGTAACGAAGTACTGGCATGCCGGTTTGGTCGACAAGTATTTTCTCGAAATTCCACCTTATATCACTGCTTTTCATAGGTGTGTAGAATAACTTCTCCTGAGCAGCGAAGACATCCTTTGTTGGCGGGCACAGGTACTGCAAAAAGAAAAAAAAAATACATTGGTAATTAAGTAATTATTCAAGCAAAGAATGTAAGATTTGTCAAAGGTATGATTGGTTGCTTTAGCTGATTATAGCAAAGTATACTAGGGCTATCTGCCTAAGGGAAGAGATGGCTTCATGGAGAACTTTCTGAGGAAGACTGGCTCGTATACACGTTACACATGGGAGAAACCACGAAAACGACCATGAAGCGAGCCCGTTCACCTGGAATCTTACTTAAGTCGGAACTACCAGTGTTCAGCGATTTAACCTCTCGTGCTCTTGTGGGTCAGATATATCAAAGGAAGAGCGCTTTTGCGGAGGGATATCTAACAAAAAGTTTGGTACTATATTATACACGAGGAAAGGGCTTATTTAGCAAATATATTCTGACACTCGGAATTGAAACCGTGATGCAAATATGAATGGCCCGATCAGAATGGATTTATCAGTGGATTAGTAGTTACTAAATCTAATTAAAAATTGGATATTTATGCCAACATTCTTTGAGGTATGATTTATGAACAATTGTATAGTAAAAAGGCTTAGAGAATTTTCTTTATTTACGTGAGTCTTGTTTTAGTAACAAATTTAATTAGTATTTAGAAATATTAACATACCCGTTTTGTTGAAAAGGTGTCTAATAAATCCCAGTATCCATATGATTTTTCTCTTCTGCCGTATCTTTTGCCCGTAAGTGCAGATTTATATAGAATTAAAAAAAAATCTATTCATAATGACAGCCCTTTTACAAATTTACTAAGCTACTTGGATGCTACCAATCACAATGATACACATTCGATTAAGCGGAGATTTATCTCACAGCAAGTACGATGGATTCAGATGCTGTAGACTAGTAATCTCCTCTGAATAGATGGATGTTTTTAAGAGAAACACATCAAACAAAAGTTAATTCAAGAATATTTGAAACAACCACCAATTGAGTACAACATTTCCATTGCAAGGTACAGAAAACTGGTTTTAGCTGCTATTGTGAATTCATTAGGAAGAAGCTGTTAGTTGATTTTATGTAAGATATAAATAACATGAAGGCCATCTACCCCAAACGGAAGGTATCCCTTCGCGGTGGACTTTCTAAGGAAACTGGCTCATATTCATGGATGACAGCTAAGACTAAATACTGATGGCTGACTGATAAAAACTTGGCAAGCGACAACTTTTTGCGCGAGGGACGAAAAACCTAACATCTTTCTTTTAGCGGTAAAATTGATACAAATTTTGTTTTAAAACACTGGTTTTTCCTAGCTGTTTCTAGTTTCCTAGGTTCTTTAAAAAGTATTCCACGAAAATAACCGTTCCTTTAGGCGGATAGCTTTGTGTGCTTTGCCCTTTCAGATAACCTAACCCATCATAATTTGTGTTTGATTACCCCTTTAAAAAATCACTCAACACTTTTTTGCAACATATCCCATATTCTTGAAAATCGATGAACATAAAATGCTGGACTTACGAAATATTCTGCAGATTATAATTACAGGTTCTGCTCATCTTTTGAATTTGAATAGAAACCATTATATTAAAAATTTCATAGATTTTTCAGTCCGTTCTGTATTTAATAAACGAAATTTAGCATTATGCTTTCAATCCCAGATAAATTTGAATTCACGCGATTATTTATTAATATAATTTATCCATTTAATTGTTTGTAAAAACGATGTATAGTTAAGATTCATTCTGGGAAAAAAAAAAAGACCAGTTAATCTTTGTGGAATCTTATGTTACTCGGTAGACTTATGCTAATACTCTCTTTTTGTTCACGAACTGACGGTTTTGTTCGTTGAAAAATTTCATCATATATTTTACAGATCATCGAGTCTGTTCTAAACAATATAAATATTAGAAGATTGGAGTCCTAAGTGCGAAATTCTATTTTCATGTAACGCTAAATTGTTTATGTCTAATGTCTTCCCTTATTTGAGGCAGTAATATTGGTCAGCCTTGTATATATATTGGGCAGTATCTGTTCTGATGAGAAGGTTAAACTACTGAGAAGTTCAATCATTTCGATGGTGGATGCCAAACTGTTAAATCACCAGCTGTTTAAGAAGATGCTTTCTTTATAACTGTGAAATATAAAAAGATATTTAAATTTCAATTAACTATTAGTAGAAATAATATTAAGAGAAACGTAGTTATAATTATTTCAGAATTTATAAAGGTATAAGTAATGTAAGTGTTCATACAGAGAAATGATTTTATAATAAAGCTGAGGAGTTATTCTATCTGTGAATTACATCTTAAAATTAGTGGCAGGATAGATAAAAGAAACACTTATCAGAAAGTTAGAGGAAAAAGGTCCTTTTGATAAGCTACGAATAATTTTGAATACATTGTAATTCATAAAATTAGCGATGCAAAAGTTCAGATTTTCCAACTGGTAAATTTTTGAAATGGCAGTTTTTATTGAAGTGAAACTGAAATGTGAATTTTTACTTGTAAGCAAAGTCGCGAATTGCTAAAGAAAGCAAAGAAAATTTCATATTTACTAGGTTATCAGCTGCTTATTATTTTATATATTCACCATGACTGATTATGAATTTTAAAAAGTTACTACTTTATTGGCTTATGTCTATTCATAATTTCAGTTCAAAATGTTATTATAAAACCGACTTGCTGGAAAGAAACCAGGAAAACAGTTAATTTTCATTGGCTGATCCTTGAAAATAACATAATAATCATTTTCTCTTACTCATACTTCTGACATATTCTCTGACATTTAAAGTTCCTTTTATTTGCTTTCCGTGAGGGGAGGAGGAATAAGCTTTCTGCATTTTTATTTTTATACATTCATATATATATCTTATTTTATATACATATAGAGAGACAGCATATTTAATAATCATGAATGTATAAAAATTGCACTTGGATAAATTATAATATTAGTAGGTTGTTAGGAAAATAATTTCATCCCCCCCAACCAGACGGATTATATGTGTTTTTAGCTAGTCGAATTCATCCTAACCCCAAACTGCATACTTTGGCAGCAGACCTCTCAAGGGTTACTATGTACAAACTTTTCTGTGTACTCTTTTTTGGTGTCCCATCAAAAGCAGCATTTTCAGTATATTGTGCTTTTCTATTACTGCATAGGCAACAAAGCTATCCAAGCAAGAAAAAAGTTAATGTAACCTGTATATAGAGAAGATAGTTGTTAAGGTAATGTGACCTCTATATAGTTGACCGAAACGCTAATGCCAAAACTGATTCGCAAAATTTCATTTCAGCAGTTTTGATACTGAAGATGCAGGCCATTTGTAGACACAAAATAAATGTACTATTTGAAGCTAACGACCGAATAACAAGAAGAAAAGTCGCTAGGAGATTAAATTTGTCGAATTCAAACGTTTATAATGTGAAGCGACTTGGTTTCGTTTCAATACTTGATGTATATCTTCCACATGCACTAAAGAAAGTGCCTTGCTTCGTCACATTGACATCTGTCATTTGCTTCTCAAACGTCAATAAAATCCTTCATTTTTGAAGTGAATCATAACTGGTGACAAGAAATGAAATGATTGTTTACAATAATGTCATATGCAAGTGATCATGGAGTAACTTCATGATCATATAGTAAATTCATAGCTTTAAAAAATGCTCTTTGTTTAATGACATTTTTAAGGGAGTTTAATTTTTTTGAGAACCAATTAGACAACGCAAATTAATGTACTGGCATCAGCTGAACAAACTGAGTGATGTTATCAAACAAAAAAGATTATAGAGTCAAGTATTCTTTGGTAACAAACTCACAAGGTCTAGAAATACTGTAGAGGAATTATAATCGAAATATATAATATCCGTACAATGCACGAATGTAGTGTATGCAACGAAATATGTAATTCATGCAACAGAAGCCCCTAATGAAAGTATGTACATTTATGTATTATGTGGTACTGAGCATATTTCCGCACAGCGCTACTGCTTTACGCACACGTTACTATATCTCATATGTTTCTTCTGTGTGTAATATTTGCATTTATGTGCTCTACGTGTTTCCGTACGTATTCTATGTGTCATGATTATTTATTCTCGTGTGTGTTTTTATGTCTTTATGTTCCGTAATTACGAGTGTGTTTTTATGCTTTTACGTTTAATTTTGTATATCTATGTGTTTCAGCTTATATGAGTGTTTTAGTGTTTTAATGCTATCCTTTATATTCTTTTTTAAGTTACTTTGTGTTATTAACAACGTCCTATGTAAAAACTACCCGACATCTAGCACCTGTATGGCCATGTAAACTCCCGGTGCAGCCTCACGGGGCTCCAGCGAGTTGCTTCTTCGAGATAGTGGAGGACGTGGGACATATGCCTGTTTACCTATGTTATACGCCAGGCGTCCCCGTCCTCCGTCACCTGTCACCTGTAGAGGAATTATAGACAGATAAAGTCAGAAGGTGTTGGTGTTGGTGTATTTAATTATGGCAAAGCACACGAGGGCTATCTGCCTAAAGGGAGGGATGCCTTTCGTGGAGGACTTTCTAAGGAAACTGGCTCGTATACACGTTACACATGGAGAAAACCACGGAAAACGCCCATGCAGCCAGCCCGTTCGCGGGATTCGAACCTCAGACCGAACTACCAGTGTTCAGCGTCTTTACCACTCGGCCGCTGGTGGGCTAAAGTCAGAAGGAGGGTGTAAATGGCCCTTTCATTCGACCATAAAGAATTGACAGTCGACCCCACTTGGGTTTACATAAGCCAGCACTTCTCGCTAACTTAAATAATGTTGAACTTAATATAAAATGTAATTTAGACTAGCCCAACGGCTCAACGCATAAAATAAATGTGCAGGAAGGCTCTGGCTCGTAGAAGCCGGCGGAACAAGCACTCAACTAGAAGCACTCAACACCACAGAATCAAATCGCTATTCCGTCACGGCAACAGTGTGGCCTCAAGCTGGCAGAATATGCTTTAAAAACAACTTCCGAAATTTTCGCTTAAATCGCAATTCTTTCTTCTTCTATCTGATTAAACGA